GATTGTACTTCCTTTTTTCTTCAGTAGTCCACTCAGATTTAGCCTTATTGATCATCTGAGGTCTAGTGTTGTCAATAGCATGTTCAGGGCTGACCTTCTGGAAGCTTGTGAAGGGTCCAATGTCAAGTACTTCCCACATCTCATCATGCAGAGCACAGAGATGTGCCTTCATCCGGATCCTCCAGTCATCAAACTTAAGATCTGAAAACATAAGATTCTTGGACAAGGAGTGGTCCATTATATCAGATAAAAATGAGATAAAACAGAAAAACAAGTGGATCTTTGTTCGGTAAATAACCTAAGAACAAGGAGGCTCTGATACCACTTGTTGGTCCCGGTTGTACTGGATACAGTCTAGAGGGGGGGGGGGTGAATAGACTGTATTGGTTTTTAACTTTTTCAAGCTAAGTACCAGATTTAACAGAATAGCCTGTTCTGTTGGCAGAACAGATTGGCAGCGGATGGGGTTCTGGTAGGGAGTTCTGTTAATGGCCTCAGAGAAGCAAAGGCAGTAGGCCTTCTGTTAACTCACAAGACCAGTTCTGCTGAACACAGATACCAAGTCTTTGGAGTTAGACAGTTCAAATGAAAACTATGAATGTAAAGTAGTAAGTAAATGACACCAGGGCTTTTAATAGTGGTTCAAGGAACAACTTGTTCCTCTAGTCCACTGTTCCACTAAGCTCGTAAAAACTTCCGTTTACAATGCTTTAGCCCTATCACTTAAGAAGCTCTCCACGTCTTCTTCAAGTGTATATGTCTTCTTGGATGCACTTCCGGCTTCCCTAAGACTGGTCCTTTCACTGAGCTTTCCCAGAAGTATCACCACTTCACAGCTCTAGGTACTTGGACGTCCTTCTTGAGAAAGAAGAGGTTCTAAACAGAACAGAGGTTCCTCCAACTTGCTTTGTTACAAGGGATTTGTAAGTAATGAGCTTAAAGAGTTGAAGAACACTTGGAACTTTGCTTGAGTTGGAAATAAGGATTTTTCCAACTTCTGCCTTCTCTTGTAGAAGATGATGAAGTTTTAATCTCAAGGAGGCTTTTTGCTTTGTAGCGTTTGAATTTCTTGTATATGCAGAGTTGTAGCAAAGGTTAGCAAAGTTATCCAGTTGTTCTTCGTAGTGTATCTTTTATACTGAGGTTGTCTTCCCGTTGGAGGAGAAGGAGGACAACTGCATTAAATGAGCGAGCAGTTGACTTGACCAGTAGGACCCGGTAAAGTTGGCGGGTTACTATTTTGGGATAAAGTAATTCTGACATTGCGGCCAATCATCTGCAATTACTCTACGGAGTATGGGGGGCATTAAATGTGCATTTAATGCGCGCACTGTAGCTTTTCCGTTCAAGACTTCTAGCCGTTAATGGAATCTTTCAGTTGGTTTCCCGGCTTGGTGGAAATCTTCTAAGTGTCAGGCCTTCTGATGTCCCTAACAGAGAGTTGATCAGAGAAGGTCTGGAGCACTTCTGTTGAGAAGATATCTAACAGAGAACCAGGAGGGTTTCTGTCAGAGTAAAGGTTAACAGAGACCCTGAGGGCTTCTGTTCTTAAGCAGAGAACAAAAGGTCCTCTGTTTGACCAATGCCTTACCAAGGGTCTTCTGCTCTGGAGGCCTTCTGCTTTGTAGGTCTTGTGCTCTGGAGGTCTTCTGCTAGTCGATTATACTAAAGAATTTACAAAGGAAAATTCTATTACATTAAGTCTAAAAAGGGGTACTCTAAAGTCCTAATCAATCTATAATCATCAAAATCTAATTACAAATATTCCTTACACGCACTATGGATTTTGAAGCAAACATGTCAGCTAAATTTTGGGTAGATGTTGTATTCATTGCCACGTTTATTATTAACCGGCTTCCTACTCCAACATTAAATGACATTACTCATTTTAAAAAATTATTCCACCATACTCCCGACTTCTCTTTTATGCTTGTGTTTGGATGTGTTTGTTTTCCAAACTTTAATGCCACTTCTGCCAACAAATTTTCTCCCAGATCCACTTTATGTGTTTTTTTAGGATATGCCCCTGAATATAAAGGCTATCGTTGGTCTAGCACACATACCGTAGCCATGCATGACCACCATCCCCTCACCCTATCCCTTCCGCCTGCAGCCGGCTCGTTTACCACTCCTGTCGAGTTGCAGCAGTCACCAAACTGCAGCCAGACCACTTCTCACCCGTCGGCTGCCTCCCTGCTACCTTCCTCTACCAGCCACAACACCAGCTCCTGTACAACCACGGCGGTGGTCAGTCCACTGCCGCCCAACCAACCATTCCTTCACCGACCCCATCGTACACGACCCCTGAACCCAGCCCCACCACTGCCAGCCTTACACCGCCCCGACTCCTCACCAGCACCTTCTCCTAAAAATTGTCATCCTATGCAAACTCGTGCTAAATCTGGGATTTTTAAGTCTAAAAATATTTTTACTCTTAAACCAGATGTTTCGGCATGTGATCCTACTTGTTTTTCTATGGCAAATAAAATGCTAAATGTTTCGGTATACTGGCCATACTGTACCGAAAAATCCTGATTTTACCGAACTTTTCGGTATACCGAAAATTTTTTTACGATATGATACCATATCGGGTCATTTCGGTACAACACGGTATGCACTTTTTAAATTTTTGGTATTTCGGTATATACTTAAATATCGTTAATTTTCGGTATGGTACGGTATATACCGAAATAACGAAATAGAAAGGGTAAATTATTAGGAGCAAATCCATTAAATGAAATTACTAAAATATCAAGGCCCAAAATTTAAAAAACTCATCTTAATACTACCGCTCTTCTCCATTCTCCCAAGCGCATAGTTTTAGTATTTTCTACTTTGGATTAAATATTGTGTTTTAGTTTTGGTATAAGTTTATGCAATTGATGTCGTATACTCGTATGCTACTTTTGACATATTAAAATCACATTTTTTGGATGTTCGGTATGCCTTTTATGTTGATGCTTTATACGAAATCATGTTAGAAGTTAAGTGTTGTGAATTTTCGGTATAAAACGGTATGAGTGACACATTGTACCGAATTTTAGGTATATACCGAAAGTTTCGGTACGGTAACAGTATGACATTTACAAATATCGTCATTCGGTACGGTATGCGGTATGGCGTGAAAATTTCGGTATGCCATAACGAACCAGCCCTAAGATTTAATTCATTAAAATTTATTATTGGAAGAGAAAAATCGATTTATGAGGTTGTCTTAAGCCGTAGGCAAATTTAGATAGGGCAAATAACCGTTCAAGATCCAACTCTTAAAAAATCTAATACATAGCCCATGTGAAAAGCGATGCAGCCCAATGGATTACAAGGCCAGAAGATTATCCAGAGTTCGAAATGTGATATTTTTCAATTTTCAGTGTATAGAAAGTAAGAATAGTCGGAGATAAGTAGAAATCCATATGACCACTATCATCATCTAAAAAGTATAAGTTGTCCTGCATAAAAAAATCATCTAAAAGATATTCCGCAACCCAACTTCATACGAGTTCCCAACTGTTTAAACCGAAAAAATTAAGAAATTATGAATAAAATGAAAAGGTCAAAAATTAAGGATTGGTGCCCTACTGAATAATTCTTGATGTACACAAAAAGTGTAAACTTTTTGTATACTCGCTATTGTATACAGACAATTGCTGACTTTATGTAAACGAGTTGTTCGTGTAGACAAACAACTAGTGAGGTGTATAAAAAGGAGATTTTTTCTCTAAAATATTACTAATAAAAAGTCTATGAAAAACAATGTGACTATAAGTTACTAGAGTCACATTTTGCATCACTACTTTTATTTGGTCATATATTTGGATTTATTTCGTATAAAAAGTGTACACTTTTGTGTGCAAATTAATTTTTCTTCTATTTTATCAGAAAGATGACACCCCATCCCTGAGGACCCCCAACCCCTATCGGATGGTACGTTGGAAGGATGTAAATTGAACTATAATCTCAATCTGACAGAAAGAGAGTGAGGCTCTATCCCCGGTACTTGTGGAGGCTCTATGCATATTTTAGCATAGTGACCTCTCATCGCAGTTGCCGGGATTCGAACCCAGGATCTAACCTGTGTGACCTTCCTCGCTACCAGTTGAGCTACGCCCACCGATTTTATCAGACTTCACCATACTGATCATACCAGCCTATTTTAGTTCTAGTTACATACATGGGTGTAGTTGGGGATTTACTAAGCTTTGCCCACCTCAGATTTTTTTTTGCCAAGTTTCTTAACTTTTTACGGAGTATATTATACGGAGTGTGTTTTATGTCAAGGCCAACATTCTTAACCTTAAATGAGATGAGATTCAAACCTATAGCATCTTCTTTGGGAGTACTTTATGTCATTAGAGCACAAAATACTTGGCGCGCACCCCATATTTGAGAAGTATATCGTGATATTTTTCTAACTCCTCCATCGAAACTCCTCCATTGAGGACCAGGAGACTCTCCACATTTATAATATATATATGGGAAAACTGTCAAATAGGTCCTCGAAGTTTCATAAAAAAGTCAATTAAGTCATTCTATAGGAAACTCTGTCCGATCGTCGCGATGTGGGGCGGTTCCCGGTGGAAGTTTTTGATAAAAAATTTTGAGCATCTTATTCATCAAGTCTAGTTTACTCATACCAAATTGCAGCTAAAAATTTAATCGGGAGCGCATTCAAATTAATTCGAGAACGCAAAAATGCGCAGTTATCTTCAAGAATAAATTTGAATGTGTTCCCGGTTGAATTTTTAGCTGAAATTTGGTATGAGTAAACTAGACTTGGTGAATAAAATGCTCAAAAAACTTCATCAAAAAATTCCACCGAGAACTGCCCCAAATCACGATGGCTGGACAGAACCCCCTATAGAAGGACTTAATTGACCTTTTTATGAAAGTTCGAGGACCTATTTGACAGTTTTCCCTATTTATATTTATACCAGATGGAAAAATCATATTTACCAAAAAAGCACTCTAAAAGAAATAGAAAAAATAATTGACAATTCTCTTTATGGGATTGTTCAGAACTAATACAAGACGGAAGAATTATTAAATCAAAGCACTATTGTGATGATAAAAAAAAAATCAAAGCACTATTGTAAATAAAGCGGAAGGGAAATAGGGCAACAAGGATACTGCAACTTAGCTCTACATTGATTTGATAACATATTGACATGCTCTAACTATCCTTCCCCACCCTCAACATTCATTCCTACATGAAAACATCCAAAGTATTGGATGTAAAGTTGAACATGTACCAAGTGTAGAATCCTCCTAATAGATACCAATTTCCAAGCCTGTTTAAGGTGAAACAATCCAAAGTCAAGTTCAATTGCAACAGATAGAAAAGAAAAATATACCAAATTAGTATCCAGGAAAAAGAAACAAGAAAAACAATACCCTTATTTCTGGCTCTTCTTTCTCCAGAGATCGCCGAATATTTTGATGCCAGAACCTTTCTTCCTCCCGCTTTCAGAAGCATCCTCAGAGTCATGAAACAAGACAGGATGTCCCACGTATCCCCTAGCTACCGGTTCAAGTACACTTTTGCGATACCTTTCAGACATCCTTCTCCCATTCATCATTATCTCCTGGTCCCCTGAAAGAAGTGAAGCCGCGGCATCTGCTGCTTTCATCCATTGTTCAGTTTGTATACTCAGCTTCTTTACCTCTGCCTCTAATGCCTCCTTCGTCTTCTCACTGTCCACTAGCTTTTCACTCAACATGACTGCATTGTTTCTAGAAGTTTCCAACTCTTCTTTAACCTGCTTCAAATGGAGAGTGGTTTCTTCTTCCTTTTTCTTGGCTAATGATGCCTCCATAGCCTCTTCGTTCATTTGCTGCTTAAGGCTCTCATTTTCTCTGTAGACATTTGCAAGTTCTTTTTCCTTCTCTTCCAGTTCGGCCCTTAACATGCTTACCTCATCAAATTCTTTCGAGCTATCATCAAAAACCTCACTTGCATGCCTGTTTTCTTTTTCATTGTCAGGGAAGTTTTGCTTGGGAACAGCAGGTTTCATAGTTTTCTTCTTAACTTTCTCTTGCACCAGTTTCTTTGCAATCTCTGTTGAGGTTAACTGCTCCTTAAGACATTTTAGTTCCTCCTGAGCCAGCCCAAGTTGGTTTTCTAAGTAAGAAATGCGTAATCCCAGTTTCTTTTGGGCTGTCGGGTCAGATCGAGAACCCCTTGGAGATGGACGATCACCAAGCAATCTGGGGCTCCGTTCAGTCAATGGCCGACCCCGCAGCTGCTCTGCATCAGAGCATGAAACTCTAAGCTGGGAAGAAACCCCAAGAGGATTCCTTTGAGGCATTTTTTATTCCCTGTTCAACAAATATACTGCATTGTTTGACGTAAAAAACAGATCACAACTTGTGAGACATTTATGATATCTTGGAATTCCAACTTCAAATGAAAAACTACAAACAACTCCACCCATTCCAAAATAAGGGTCATCTTTCTTTTAAATGAAAGAACTGGGATATTCATATTAAATAAGTTCTCACCAACACTTTTTTACGCTTCTTAATAAGCGTATTAAGTCAAAACGCAAGATAGTTGCTCGTTAGCAAAATATCCATTTAGAAGCATGTGTTGTTACTCTAGAGGCTCACAGGATCAGATTAAATGTTGACACTAATTAGCTTTCATACCATATTAAGACAAGGATTCAATCCTTAAAAGCTGTAAATGGGGCAGCATTACAAGTAGCTTGAGAGCCCCTTGATAACCACTCAAAAAACACTACCCAAAACCTACCCTAAGAGTGGAGGCTTGACACCAGTCGGGATCCACAATTGGTTGTGGATCTAATTAAGTTGTTCAATGAAAAGATTCACACTAATTTACCCACAATGTGAGAAGATAAATAATACTCCCTATCTTTTGCTATTTTGAGGAATGGTAAAATAAGATTAGCTCATTGCATCATCATCTACATTGAACAATATATTATTGCAAATTGTCCTCACAGGGAAGTCCGAAATTCCGGAACAGTTAAACCTTCATCTTCTTACGAGATTGCAATCTATATACCCATGCAACATCCAAAGCACAACAAAAAACAATTCAAGTTACACCTAAGAGCTTCAACATAAAGCAATTCCCTGTTTCCCCAACTATGGAGACTATTAAGTCATTTCATATCAAAATCCGAAGCTGGAAATAATAATTATAATACTCTAGGATTTGTATGGTTTTGGTTTTAATTATACTAAACTATCTCGACTTTTAAGCTTTAATTTAACAATAACTACGTAGTATATGATGAATCGAATCATTTATTGCTATCTATAATGTTTTATTTATATGTTGACTTGTTTCCAACCTTTTAAGAATATACGGAGTATATAATTTAAAAGGCACATTTCTATGAGCCCTAATCTGAGCTCCTCTCCAGATTTCCAACCAAATAATTTGGACATAAACTAATCAAATTTCGGAATGCCAGTGGTGTGTATATTTAGAACCTAAAACAATGCTGCAATTCCGACCTGAGATGCTTTCCCGTTCTTCGTGGCTGTTTACTAAGAAGGATTTCAAGCTCTCCAGCCCTGAGGTAGTTTGGTACGGGCCACTGAAAAGAAGAAAACCCACCTCTTGTGAGTATGAATTATACAGTATTCCGTATGAAGAAGTCAGGAGAAATAAGAGAGATTTTTAACGATTTGAACTTTGAACATTAGGTTAAATTTTGAAAGTGAGTAAACTGTTAAAGCGTTTGAAGATGGGACATGAGTGATCAGAGCAGTTAAATTTGAACCTTGATAGTTGATGCGACAGAGACAATATTGAATACGGAGTAAAATATGACTCAACGGTCACCTAATGTCAAGATGGACTGCGGATTAGTGGACATGGGCATCCAGCTTTGGGCCGTTGAACCGGCCCGGTTCACTTTTTTCAAATTTTTTCTTTTCCTAGGGTAGGGTTGGTGTTTTGTGTTGAGTTGAAAATTTATTATTTATTGGGAAAACTGTCAAATAGGTCCTCGAACTTTCATAAAAAGGTCAATTAAGTCCTTCTATAGGAGGTTCGGTCCAGCCGTCGTGATTTGGGACCGTTCCCGGTGGAATTTTTTGATGAAATTTTTTGAGCATTTGATTCACCAAGTCTAGTTTACTCATACCAAATTTCAGCTAAAAAATCAATCGGGAACACATTCAAATTAATTCTTGAAGATAACTGCGCAGTTTTGCGTACTCGAATTAATTTGAATGCGCTCCAGATTAAATTTTTAGCTGAAATTTGGTATGAGTAAACTAGCCTTGATGAATAAGATGCTCAAAAAATTGCATCAAAAATTTCCACCGCGAACCGCCCCAAATAGCGACGACCGGATAGAGTCTCCTATAGAAGGACTTAATTGACTTTTTTATGAAAATTCGAGGACCTATTTGACAGTTTTCCCTTATTTATTTGTGCTTATACGGAAAAACGAGGAGTTTGAACTTGAGTTTGATGCTCATTAATACTCCTCGTGTGTTCATGCTAGTTGTTTCATATATTAGTAGCTTTATAAATATTTAAATTGTTTTTCAGCAAAATTTAAATTTTCTTTTGTTGCTTGTTTTTCTTTGTGAAAATGTCTGCTTATAATCAGTATGGTATGGCTCCGTTTAACAAAAAAATTGTTTTTACAATTTGGAAGCAAAAAATTAAATGTATTTTAATCCAAAAAATGTTTTAAAGCAGTTGGTGAAACCTATTTAATTTCTGACACGAACGATAAAAGGGCTGAAATGAATGAAAATGTATTTGAACTTTTCTGATTTTGTGATTATAAAAGTTTGAATTTTAAAGAGTGCTAAAATTCTGTGGAATAAACTAGTTGAATTGTATATTGAAATCTTTTTGCCTATTCGGATGTTTTTACATGAAAAGTTCTTCAAATTTAGACAGGATATGTCTAGGGATATTGAGAAAAATCTAGATGTTTTTACCAAACTTATTTTTGGTATTAAGTTGTGTGATGATAAGCATATAGATGATTATTCCCCGCTCTTTTAAATGTTATTCCTGATTCCTTTTGGGTGTGTTTGGGAGTTGGGTTTTGGAGAGGAGTGGAAGGTTGCTAGGGGTTTATAACCCTCCTTTTCATGTTTTGGAGTTTATAAAATTGGAGGGGATGGTTTTGGAGGGCTTTCATGAGCCTCCAAAACCATCTAAATGCTCAACTTTGAAGCTCCCCTAATTTGAAGAGTTTTGAAGGATAATTAATGAAATGATAATTTAAACTGCGCTCAATTAAAAATAAATATAAGTTCAATTATTTAAATTCGTCATATCTCAAAGAAGAGCTTCCTCACCCTCCCCTCCCTATCCCCTCCAACAACATACCTCTGAAGCCTTCCCCTCCCCTTCCCTCCGAACTCCCAAACATACCCTTAGTGGTGTGAAATCTGTTATTAAGTACGGTAAAGATAATGTGACTCTTGACATTGTGGTTAGTGGTCTTAAGAGTAAAGAATTAGATTTAAAATTGTTGGGTGAGGGTAGAAAATCCGAGGAACTTATGCATGTGAGGGGTAGAAAAAATAATAGATGACATAGATCTAAGTCTAGGTCTAATTCGAGACGTTGCTATTCTTATCATGAACTTGATCATCATTTCATAAAATATTGTCTTCAATCTAGGGAAAATAAGCATAATGAGCATGCTAATTTGACTACTTGTAAAGATTGCTATTAGTCTTTTTTTGAGAAGGTTTCTTTTTCCTTTATGGCAGTGTTGTGGCCTTGTTCCTTTTTACTATCATTGAATAAAATTTGCTTTTGGCTTAATAACAAGAAGTTAAACAATCACTTTTGATATCTTTATTTTTCAGAGAAATTTCTCAAATAAGATTAAATGAAACTTTAATTGCAAAAATAGGAGTATAACTTTAAAGTTCTCTAAATAAGACTATCTTTTCACTCCTATCATTGCTATGTTTTAATACAATTCATATTTCTTTAATAATTAAAAATAAAAGTAATAACATAAATTTACTTATATAAAAATGTAAGAAAATAAATGCATGAAAATAAATATTAAATAAAATAAAAATTAGAAAAAAAGAATTCCAAAACAAATTAAAAATTCAAATAAAAAAAATAAAAACTGTAAAAAAAATGCAAACCTCTGATACCGCCTCAACAACCTTCAAGCATCACTAGGTCTGATCATCACAAAAAAATACCAATATGTGTAAGTAATGACATCTTGATGGCGGGTTTAGAAAACAATTGGCATATCAAAGAGTAAAAATGTCAATATGACACTTTTTGAGAAAAATGACATTTTTTATCGATCGGAGATGGCGTTTCCTTGAGGTGGCAGAGATTGCGGGAAAGGCCATCGTATTTTGTTGTAGTTTTTATTTGTTTTATCTGTTTTATTTATTTTGAATTTTTATTTTTTGAATTTTGTAATATTTTTAATTTATATTACTTTATTATTTTAAATAAATATTTTTGAATTTTTAATATATTGTTGCGATGTTATCGTAAATTAAGATATTTTTATGTTTTTCTTACATATTAAAAAGGGAAAAGTACATAAAAGGTGCATGTGGTTTGGATCATTTTTAGATAAGGGCACATGTTTCATTTTTTATCAAAGTGAGACATGTGTTTCAATTCCGTTATCACAGCTCGGACATGACATCTAATGCTGTGAGAAAAATTAACTTTAATTTTCAATAGTCTACGAAAAATTAAAAGAAAAATATTGGGAGGTATATTGGGAGAAAAATTAACTCTAATGCCGTGAAGAATCTTTTGAAAATCGGAGTTAATTTTTTGTGGTAACGGCGTTAGACACCATGCCCCAACTGTGATAACAGAATTGAAACACATGTCCATTTTATTAAAATAATGAAACACATGCCCCTATCTAAAATGGTTCAAACCAAAGATACTTTTTTTGTATTTTTCCCTATTAAAAACTGCCATTCAGGGCTATTTTCGTGAATTCTCCTGATTTAACTTTTTAGGTTTCTATAAGGTATGGAGACGGTAGGTGAGTAGCTATCAGCGACTAGGCGAGTGTTTAGAAAAAGAACAATAGTACCTCCGTCCCATAATATAAAACACATACGGAGTTGATGCGAGTTTTAAGAAAATAAATGGACATTGGGATATTAGAACGATCGAGCAATTGGCCAGTCCAATCCTGCCCTTAATAGCATCACAATTCCCCAAAAAGGTTTTCGCTCACGCGAATCTTCATATCATCCGTTGGATTTAGTAAACATCATATACGGCTTTCACCCTGCCCTTTCATTTTTTATTAAAAACGAGCAAGGAAAAGTGCATCAAAGAAATATGAAAAAGAAAAACAAGATACATAAAGGAAATAACAAAAAATAAGAGTGAAAGATCCAAACTAGCCAACCTAAAACCTCCCTAGAAGCCCCAAGAGTGCAGTTAAATTGGTAGAACTACATTCGTGATTGAAATCTAGTCTTCATCAGATGCGATCGTTGATGCCTTTTTTGTACACTTTCAATTAAGTGTTGAAATTCTCTGTAAGTAAGCAATTATCCCTCGTTACCAACATAGCTTTATTGCAAATATTGTGATTTGAATCGGAGTCCCATACTCAACGGATGAAATAGGAGTCCTTTTCTCGCCTTCTGAAGCATGACCCATAAATTCATATCCAGGTAGGATTTTCTGGGTGAAGATACCCTCACTATCAAACACATGAGTCATTCTATTTGTACACGTTCTAATACACGTTCTTATACACTTGTCTGTGATAGGTCATTTTTTTGTCTCTGAATCGGCATGTTTTGCAAGTTTATAAGAACGTGTATAAGAGAACAGGTACAAATAGATTTTTTGCAAACACATTGACTTCTGGATTTCCACAGCCATTACCTATCTTTGCATCAGTATGCCTCTCCTTCAAAGAGCCCCGATTATCGAAATAGGAGGCAATAATTCTTCGAATCATCTCAAGTTTTTTATTCATTCTTCTTCCCAAATCGTGAAACTCCTCAGAAAATGTTGGGAGATAATCTAGCTAGTCTCACTCATCTGCCTGAAAATCATCATCTAGCATAAAGCATTTACCTCGAGTGTTTGCCGGGAAATAATCATATAGCAGAAATCACAGTTGTTGGGATGAAAGGAAAGACGCTACTCCCCCTGCCGATGCATTGTCTCCCACTCTCGCTGCTGATTCGAATGATGTTGCATCAAAGGTCCACACTAGGAATGCAATCTTATGCTTAACCTGCAATTCCTCCTTACCAAGCACAAAGCGACGGGGTTCAGGAGCTCTCGTCCTTAAACTATCGTATAGACCTAGCCGAAAGCATCTACTTTGGAAAATTTTCCAAGCATTTGATGGGCAAAAGTTTTTTAGCATTCTGGGTTTGTTCGTATTCTGGACGAAAGGATTTTTCTTTCCTATTGAGAAGATATGAGGTTTCATAGGGACGATAATTTGTTATGCTCCACTATTGTTGTGTGTATCTTATTCAATCTTCCACTTGCATAGTTTTTAATAAAAAAGTTGGATTTTAAATAAAAGAGTTACACCATTTTTAACAAAATTGGGATTTTAATTTAATGTGGACCCCTCACATTTTCCTAAACTGCGGCTATGACCTCCCTCTCTCTCTTGGGGCGATCCGGCGTCGGAATTCCCCTCCCCAAGGTTCTCCCAATCCCCTATAGCTCCTCCCTCTACTTTTTTGTTTGTTTGAGTTGCACCATTCTTGGAGTGAAAACTTCAAATATGGGGGTTTCACCCCTTGCATTGCAGGTA